TATGACAAGAGCATCCTAACTAGAGTCACAGCCTCCCGTTTCCTCCTCCGCACCCCTAATTCAGTCTCTGATTTGTCATCAGATTAGTCTTCCTAACTCTGAGGCTTTCAAAATTTTTTGGCCATGACTCACAATAAGAAATAAATTTTAGGGACTTCCCGGGTGGCGCAGTGGTAAAGAATCTGCCTGCCAATGCAGGGGGCCCGGGTTCGAGCCCTGCTCCAGGAGGATCCCTCCACATGCAGTGGAGCAACTAAGTCCGTGTACCACAACTACTGAGCCTGCGCTCTAGAGCCCGCGAGCCACAACTACTGAGCCCTCGTGCCGCAACTGCTGAAGCCCGCCCGCCTAGAACCCATGCTCCACAACAAGAGAAGCCACCGCAATGAGAAGCCCGTGCACCACAATGAAGAGTGGCCCCCACTCACTGCAACTAGGGAAAAGCCCGTGTGCAGCAACAAAGACCCAATGCAGCCAAAAAAATTTTTTTAAATAATAAATAAATTAATTAAAAATATATATATATATTTTACCTCACAACCCAGTACACACATACAAAACACACAAAGCAATACTGCACTCTGATATTTTTTTTATCGTGAGACCCACAAAATTGGATTTGTGAGCCACTAATGGATCATATCCCACAGTCTGGAAACACTGCCCCCCACAGAGCTCTAATCACGTCACTACCCCAGTGAAAGATGTCAGTAGTCCCCATTATTGACTGAATTTAGTACAAGTTGTTTAACCTGGCATCAAAGGCTTCTATAGGATGCCCTCAATTTGTCTGCCTAAACATTTCTCTCCCTACCTCCATTTATGTCATTTTAACCTCTCTGGGCTTTTGTGGTCTAATATGTAGAATAAGAACAAAAATATTTCTCCAGCATGAAGGCCAGGGGTAGACCAGATGATACGTTAAGTTTCCTTTTTAAGGGTTATAATTCTGGGATTGTAAGTGCCCAATATCCAGTAACCAAACATATCTCCTCTCTGGTCTCCATACACTCCCAGATCTATGTCATCTATGTTCCTCTTGCCCCCTTTAGCCATCTTCCTCCATCTCCCTCTATCTTCCTATGTTGAAATCCCATCAAAGTCTAGCAAGGGCAAAGGACACGGGAAGGAAGGATCAGAACATACTCAAGCAATGCAGTTAGTCCCCTAAGAGTGGAGCCACTAAGGCTGGTATGTTACACACAGGTGGGAAGAAAGATGAAACTAAAGAGGTGGGCTAGGCTAGATTATGCCAAACCGAGACCCTCAGGCTGAGATTTCATCTTAATTTAGAGGTCATGGGGAGTCACTGAGAGTTTCTGAACAGGTGTGATATGACCAAAGGTGAGGTTTAAGAAAACTGATTTGCCTGGAGCTGGGGCATCAGAGGTTTTTCAGTAGTAAAATTGACATAGCCTAGATGTAGTTGGTCTCATGACAGGCCGGGTCAGGGATGGATCCCAGAAATTCAGGCAGGCCGCATCAAGGAGGTTCAGCTTTGGCCACAGATAAGCATCCTGGAGAGCCCAAGGAACATGGTGTCTAGTTATAAGGAGCAGACTTGAGCAGAGGGCCAACAAGGTGCCTGGCTTCCACCAGCTCTGGCAACACAGTGCAGGGGCCCAGCCAAGAATTGGGACTCAGGGGCAGGAGGCCGGTCCCTGACAGGGCTGGTGAGAGCAAAGCTTCTGGCAAAAAAAGAAAAGGAACCACACCCTTTCCTCAGATCCTGTATGTGACAGTTTCTCTGCCAAGCACTGTTGCACACTGGTCTATCGGACTCCAAAGCCTGAAGTGTGAATGACACCAAACTTCTCCCAATGTCTCTGAGGACAAGAAGCGAATTCTCTCTCCTCCTGAGACCTGGCAGTGCTTATACAGAGTAAGCCTAGATAAACATTTGTTGGATCGAACTGAAAAGAGATTATCATTCCTATCACTCCATGGATATTGCTGCTGGTTCGTCTATCTTGACTGGTGATTCTTGATGTCCTGGGCCTTACACTGTTTAACTGAAAGAGCCTGAATACCAAAGCTCTGTGGAGGATTATACTGATACTCTGAATACATTAACCTAAATGTATTTCTGGATGAAAGGCTTCAGGTGTGGCTTTAACGAATGACTATGTGTGAACAGCCAAGGGAGAAATGAGCGTTAGTGTCGTCTTTCATCCCAAAGGCTTTGCAGGGAGGGCATTGAGAGCTCAGCTCTGCAGCAAAACGTGAACTATAAATCATCACGAGATTTGTTTCCCCTCGTGCAGTGGGAGAAACCTGCACTATTATTATGTCTCTTTTCACGTGCCCTCTTCCAGATATATCTTGGTCTCCCCACCACCCAAGGTGCTCAGTAGATGGGTGGAGCCATTCAAGGAGCAACCGGGGTTGGGAGGAAGCTGAGTCTTGTGCTAGAGCTGTTGGGCTCTGTGTGGAGCTCACTGCAGCTCTGGCAGCCCTGGCAGGAGTGGTAGCAGCTGGCCGTGTTCCCTTGGGAGCAGTACATTCTCGGGGGGCGAACAGGAGATATATGACTGCCAGGAAAAGGGTGTAGAACTGTTTCTCTTGGTAAACTGTCCATAATCATGTATTATTCAGACTCCCTGCCTCCTAGTTATTCAGTCAACACTTACTAACAGCCCCTGTTAGTAAGAGCAAGAAAGCAGAGTGAAGGCAGGTCAATTCCATCTTTGAGGCTCCTAGTATATTTAAAAAATGAACAATGGCTAAATAAGATTTTAAGTCATAGTAAGTTTTAATGTTTGTGTATTTAAAATTAAAATTATATGATGAATACTGTCTTCTTTCCCTCCTGTAACTACAGCTTTGTGTCTGAATTCATAACCTCATTTGCAGGTAGTGCAGAAGTCCAAATTTGAGGCTCTTATGAATATGGGAACTGGATCTCTTGCCCCTAATCCCCCAGGCCTCCTGCCTTGTTGCCTACCAGGCCCAGGTGCACAGAGGACTGAACCACAGTTCATATGGCTTTGACTAACATCAGACCGTCCACTGCTTCCATTCAACCACAGAGGCTCCCTTTGACTTCAAGTCTGGAGCTTTGAACTGCCCTGAGGGGCTTTACCCAGATGCAAGACTCTGTCCCTGTCTGAAGCATGTCTCCTGGGTCATGAGAGTCTCTACTGCCAACTCAATGCAAGCCAATAAACCATGCTACTGGGCTTGAGTTCTATCTATGTTTTCCTCACATGCACTTAAGCTGTGAGGACGCCCTATTTCTAAATGCTTGGACACACTCACCTGTAGCAACAGGAGACGAAGGGATTCCCCAGAGAGGCTCTTATGCTTAGGCACATGACACATACCTCTAAACCCACTGAGCCAGGAATAGGAGGTACCCTGATGTCCAAACACAGAAACACATGATTTGATGCCATTGTGATAATATGAGGAACCACCAAACATCCTCTTTTAAAACACAGCCAAAGGGACCTAACCCAAAACATTAACGCATCTACTCCGTACGTTTTTGGCTTTAGGGAACGATGGTCAGAGGGACCCATTTCTTTGGGATGGCTGAATCTGCCTCTTATCCAGCTTTGCGAGGACCCACCCTGGGGGCTCCTACAAGGCCAACTGACCTCCGACTCAAAACCACATTGGATTTTCCTCACTCAGACCTTTCCTCTAAGAATCTCAAATCTGTTTCGAGAGAATTAAGGAGTTAGCAACTAACCTGTACAGTCCCCATAAAAAAAACAGGGGTTCTGTCTCTTCAAGAAGTGGGAAATCTGAGGCCCTGGGGCCTGTTCTGTGTCCTGGGGTGGCAGACCTGATTCCTGCCCCAGAGTTCACTGACAGTTGAAAATATAATGAGGTGGTGAGGAATGGGGAGTGACGCAGTTAGAGAGAGCTGTCTAAAGATCTCAGTAACCTGGAAACTACTGACGTGTAAAAGTGCCTACTGTTCCGAAAAAGAAGATAAGCAGATGAGAAAGAGCAGAAGGAATAACATAGACTCTATAGTATCATTAAAGGAATAAAAATGTTTTTTTCAAACCTCATCTTAATTATAAGGAGGTACAAATATAATGACGAAGCAGCAAGAATTATGATTTTTTTTGGCAAAAAGCTATGCAATTTTGGGGCTTCCCTGGTGGCACAGTGGTTGAGAATCCACCTGCCAATGCAGGGGACACAGGTTCGATCCCTGGTCTAGGAAGATCCCACATGCTATGGAGCAACGAAGCCCGTGCGCCACAACTACTGAGCCTGTGCTCTAGAGCCCGTGAGCCACAACTACTGAGCCCGCGTGCCAGAACTACTGAAGCCTGTGCCTAGAGCCCGTGCTCCACAACTAGAGAAGCCACCGCAATGAGAAGCCCGCACACCGCAACAAAAATTAGCCCCCGCTCGCCACAACTAGAGAAAGCCTGTGCGCAGCAACGAAGATCCAACACAGCCAAAAATAAATAAATTAAATAAATAAATTTATTTTTTAAAAAAAGCTATGCAATTTTGTTTCCTCACAGGCTATGTCAAAGGGAAAACACTGAAAAAAATTTTTTTAATCCCCAAGGGAAAAAAAGACACAAGTGGAAGAAACACTTTTTCCCAGACCTGATCGCACTTACATTTGAAAAAATAGTGCACCTGTATTTATTTTAGAAAGTTTCCACCTATCAGAGAAATGCTAGAAGACAAAGCTGGTTATTCTATGTTTGTCTGGGTGTTATCTCTTGAAAGAAAAGTATAAAGGAAGTACCATATCCATCATTAGTCACTGAGCTTTAGAAATACTTAGTCACATCACTTTTAGTGTGTATTTCTAAAGGAAATATTGACTGTTGCCTTTCTTTCTTTGTCTTTAAGAGTGAAAATTCTGGTATAGCTTTTATATGAATTCTGGTGGATTTGATCATAACTGGACGACCAGTTTCTCTGCCCACACCTGCACTCTTCACCACCTTCTTTATCACCAGTTAAAAAAGACTGTCTCGGGGCCTGGAGGAAGAGGCTTGTCCGGTAAGAACAGAATGGGTGAGGCGTCTGCGCAGTACAACCCAGAGCCCCCGCCCCCTCGCACCCAATACTCCAACATCCAGGCCAATGAGAGTGAGAAGGCCCGGCATTTCCGGAGGCTCTTTGCCCAGCTGGCTGGAGAGGACATGGAGGTCAGTGCCACAGAACTCATGAACATTCTCAACAAAGTCGTGACCCGACATCCTGATCTGAAGACTGATGGTTTTGGCATTGACACATGTCGCAGCATGGTGGCCATTATGGATAGTGACACGACCGGCAAGCTGGGCTTCAAGGAATTCACGGACTTGTGGAACAACATCAAAAAGTGGCAGGCCATATACAAACAGTTTGACATTGACCGTTCAGGGACCATTGGCAGCAGTGAACTCCCAGGGGCCTTTGAGGCAGCAGGATTCCGCCTGAATGAGCATCTCTACAACATGACCATCCGACGCTACTCGGATGAGGGAGGGAACACGGATTTTGACAACTTCATCAGCTGCCTGGTCAGACTGGATGCCATGTTCCGCGCCTTCAAATCTCTTGACAAAGATGGCACTGGACAAACCCAGGTGAACACCCAGGAGTGGCTGCAGCTGACCATGTATTCCTGAACGGGAGTCGCAGACCTGCCCCCTCATCGCCTCGCTGTAGGAGTCACCTTGGACTCTTCAGTCTCCCCCAGGGCTGATCCTGTTTGCAGTCACATCTTCATGGCTCCTGCTGACCCACAGGCCTTTCTGTTCTCCCAGCCCTTGGCACCCGGATTCTCAGTCAACAGCCAGGGCCCAACATGCTTCAACACACCCTGCCCCAGCACACCCATCTCACATCTACTCCATAACCCCTCTCTTGCATCTGTGCCAAGCCCAACATTTGTGTTGCTTGCACACCCCAAGGGCCCTTCTCTCAGTTCTGGGAGGATCACTCCAGTCCCCACACACCCTGGCACACCCACCCAGTTACCACCCAGGCAGCTGAACTCCAGGCCATAACAGGTCACATGCCCTAGTGCCTTTGTCTGTATTCTGCTCCCAGCCTGCCAGGCTCAGGAGGAAATAAATGCACCCTAGCTGCTGCTCTCTCTGAAAAAAAAAACAAAAAAAAAGATTGTCTCCACCCCTTGCTATCAAGAATATTAGTCCTAGTGACTCCTTCCTTCATGTCTAAGAAAAGGGGATGCTATTTAACCATTTATTCACTTTATTCAACACGTATTCATTCAGTGCCTGGTGGTGTTTTTTTTTTTAAGACCATTTTTATTTTCATTTATTTTTTAATTAATCTTATTTACTTTTGGCTGCGTTGGGTCTTCGTTGCTGTGCGTGGGCTTTCTCTAGTTGCAGCAAGCGGGGGCTACTCTTTGTTGCAGTGCAGGGGCTTCTCACTGCGGTGACTTCTCTTGTTGTGCAGCACGGGCTCTAGGCACACGGGCTTCAGTAGTTGTGGCGCACGGGTTCAGTAGTTGTGGCTTGCAGGCTCTAGAGCACAGGCTCAGTAGTTGTGGCGCACGGGCTTCGTTGCTCCGCGGCATGTGGGATCTTCCCGGACCAGGGCTTGAACCCATGTGCCCTGCATTGGCAGGCGGTTTCTTAACCACTGCGCCACCAGGGAAGTCCCAGTGCCTGATGTTTCCCTGGGCACTGGGGATAAAGTAATGACCGCAAAAAGACAGAGCCTTGGACTGGTGATCAGAATCACACCAATAGATGTAAATTACACTCTGTGATAAGTGCTTATCTTTCCAAGAGGAAATTCTCCCTGTTCTTAATTTGTCCCTTTTGCCTCCTTGTATCCCAGCTGCTTCCCCTCTCCAACATCAATCTCATCCACCTTCTTCCCTGTCAGCAACGTGCTCTGGTTCTTCCCTTTTACCCTGCCTCCAAACATCTTGACAGAATAGTTTTATATTCCTCACCTTCTTTTCAGCTAGCAAATCATGTAAGTTGGTTTCCGTCCACCCCACTCTACTGAAATGCTCTCTCAAGGTTGGCAACAAGGATCCCACCATTACGAATCCTCATCGCAGCTCCATCGTGGCTCTGGCATCGTGGTCCTCTCCCAGGACCTAACACCCCAACTACCTCCATCTGCGAACGTTCTGCCCTACCAGACGGTGCTCTCTTCTTTCTCCTTATACTGCCAAGCCACTGGTGTTCCCAGGGTTCTGTCCTCAGCCCCCTCTGTCTTCTCTCCAATCTGGGAGGTGCCATTCACTTTCCAAGCGTCAGTGACACTCTTTAATCACAGCTCCAGTTTGGATCTCTCCTGGGCTCAGATCCATATTTCCATCTCAGCCTTTACTCTTGGATGCCCTGCTGAACTTCAGATCTAAGGATGTGCAAAACAAAATTCATGGTTTTCCCTCCCACCCTGCTTCTCCATTTCTATCACAATCAATAATATCATTTTCCATTCAGGCACCCAAGTCAGAAGCCTCCAAGTTATCTGTGATCACACTTTTCTCCTCATTCAGGCATTCTGTCTGCCATTGAGTTCTACACCCAGAATGTCTATCCCAACAAGGGATGGCAAGTAGGTTTCACCTAATGTACCGACTCTAACCAGTTAGTAGTGGCTGCCTGGAGGAGCACTACTGTGTTGGGAAGGATGCTGAGGCAGCTTGTGGCCTAACCAAAAAAAAGCACCGTGATCAGCTATCGGTTCTGCTTTGGGTGGTGGTACACATGCCAGGTATTTGCCATCCAGCTCTAAACCTTCCCTGGTGAACAAATGAGATCACCCTTTACCGTTCCCATTACCCCTGCTCTGGATACTCTCTTAAAACGTATTACAGGGCTTCCCTGGTGGCACAGTGGTTGAGAGTCCACCTGCCGATGCAGGGGACACGGGTTCGTGCCCCGGTCCGGGAGGATCCCACATGCCGTGGAGCGGCTGGGCCCGTGAGCCATGGCCGCTGAGCCTGCGCATCCGGAGCCTGTGCTCCGCAATGGGAGAGGCCACAACAGTGAGAGGCCCGCGTACCGCAAAAACAAAACAACAAAAAAATGTATTACAATAGTCTCTGGGTGTTGCCTCCTTTCAGTCTCTCTCTTCTCCACATCATCAATCATCCAGACCTTGGTTTAGCTCTCCGAAGCAAAGATCTATCTATTCATGCCTGTTTAGAAAGGCTCCCTCATACTAGAATAAAGCATACAGCATTAAAGGCCATTTAGACTCTAACTACAGCACACCTACCTACTGCCATATGCCCTGTGCCTCCCATATCAGGCAGTATAGCATCGTGGTTCATGGAACAGACTTGAGACCGCCCTGCCCGGTTTCAAACTTCAACTCTGCCACTTTGGTTGTGTGACCCTGAGCGAGTTATTTGACTCTCTGTGCCTCAGCGTCCTCATCGGTAAAATGAGGAGAATAATCCTACCGAGCTCATAGGGATTAAATGAGTTAAAGGACAGAAAACACTAGAAGAGCTCCTGGCATGTGATAAACCCAATACAGACACTGACTCCTATCACTGCTACTACGCCTGGCACACTTACCCCAGTGACTTTGGCCAAGCTGTTTCCACTGACCCTGCCCCACCTTTCCCCACTCCCAGGGAGAATACATGTTCCTTGCTCTGTCCTCCCCCAGAATGTGTCATGCTCCTCAACGCCAGCAGTTATCACAGTGTACTGTACTTAGTTGTGCTTTTCGGTTTTTTTGGCCGAGCACAGCATGTGGGATCTTAGCTCCCCAACCATGGATCGAACCTGTGCCCCCTGCAGTGGAAGGGCGGAGTCTTAACAACTGGACCGCCAGGGAAGTCCCTGTACTTAATTTTTTTTTTTTTTTTTTTTGCAGTACGCGGGCCTCTCACTGTTGTGGCCTCTCCCGTTGCGGAGCACAGGCTCCGGACGCGCAGGCCCAGCGGCCATGGCTCACGGGCCTAGCCGCTCCGCGGCATGTGGGATCCTCCTGAACCGGGGCATGAACCCGCGTCCCCTGCATCGGCAGGCGGACTCTCAACCACTGCGCCACCAGGGAAGCCCGCTGTACTTAATTTTTAATGTGTGTCCCTGACCCAATAGTTGGGGGCTCCTTGAGGTCAGGGAAGGTTCATGAGAGAAAGTTTAGAGACGGATGGGTGGGTGTCTTATTTACTTCTATGTCCTCTACTTCTAACATGGTGTCTGGAAAATAGTAGATATGATTACGTCTGAATGACGACATGATGGATGAAGGAAGAAATGAGTTGGCAGAGGCAGAATGAGCACTGGGTAGTGATAACGATTATAGTTGAAACTGTGGTTTATCTACAAGGGAGCTAATAAATAACAGTCAATCTACTGGAATCCTATATCAGTAGCAGGTATATTTGTTCTTACTTTTACACCAGTGCATCACCAGGAATCAATTACCCAGTTCTGACTTTTTCTTTGGCCCCAGAAAGGGCTTTTATTCACCTAAATGTTATAGTGCACATTCTCATCTCTATAAACACGAACTGCATTCTTCACGGCCCAATTCCAACGTCACCTCCAATTCTATGCTAGATTTAGCACAAACAGAAGCTCCTTATTGGACTGTAAGACCCTTAAGGATCCCATGATCATGGCTATCAGAAGCCTGTCAATCCTGCTCTAACCCTACAGTTAATGATAAAAAGGGATTTGGAGAGCTTTGACTTACCACTTGGATTAGAAAGAATTAGGTCTCTTCTGAAAAGTACTTATCACATCACTGCCTAACACTCCGGGTATGATTCAGAATGTACTTTTTTTTTCTTAACATTTTTATTGGAGTATAATTGCTTTACAATGGTTTGTTAGTTTCTGCTTTATAACAAAGTGAATCAGCTATACATATACGTATGTTCCCATATCTCTTCCCTCTTGCATCTCCCTCCCTCCCACCCTCCCTATCCCACCCCTCTAGGTGGTCACAAAGCACCGAGCTGATCTCCCTGTGCTATGCGGCTGCTTCCCACTAGCTATCTATTTTCCATTTGGTAGTGTATATATGTCCATGCCACTCTCTCACTTTGTCCCAGCTTACCCTTCCCCCTACCCGTGTCCTCAAGTCCATTCTCTAGTAGGTCTGGGTCTTTATTCCCGTCATAATGTACTTTTGTAGGCAATAGATTTCCACAGTTTATAGTAAACAGCCAGGCATACTTATGTGCCTCTTAGCTTCTCTTCGAGATTTACAACCTTGGTTCTGCCCTTGTGGGTTCAGAGCACATGGCATGCCCTTCAAACGTGCAGAGGGGGGAATCCTCCTCCATGTTCTCTTATTTTCTGCACAAACCAGATCTCCCAGTTCATTCCACAGAGATATTTGTTTGCTGACCAGCAGATGCATTGAAAATATGCACAGCACGTTGGCAGTGTGCAGATTGGAAGGACCTGTGGGCAGGAGCCTGTCAACCCTGTTCCACCCCACCCCGCTACAGCCCTGGCAATGTCCAGAGTTCTGTTTGCTCCGCAGACGATGCTTATCTATAGCGGCTGAAGTGCTTTCCAGCTGGCCTTCTCCTCTTTGCTTCCGCTAACCTAACAGACTGGCAGGTTGGAGAAGACACACACAGAGAGTGTATTGACTGTTTCAGTTTTAGCCGAAGGCTGAGGGAAATCCACATAAAGCAAGCCTATGTGATTCTGTGCTGGGGGGAGAGGAGGTTGCATAATTTGGGTGTGTATGTATGATTTGGGGAGGGAGAAAAGAAGAGGATAGAATCTGCTGAGGGATAGGTGGGGAGAAAAATGACAGTCCTGGAGAACGCAGCAAGGTGGAGGCCGTGAGTATTTGTTGGGGACGAAGACCAGATAATTGTGAATCTGAGCAAGCCTGGGCTGACAGTGAACAG